CCTTGCCTTCCAGTGATATGGCAGAGAGCACCTCTGAAGGTTTTTTTAGGGATTTTTTTTTCTCATTTCAGCCCAAAAGAAAAGGTTTCTCTTTCAAAAAACAAAGAGAAAGAGAAGAAGATGTCGGTGATACAGACGCAAAGAGAAGGCAGATGTGGGAGATGAAGGTCCAAGGCCCAAGGGAGTTTGAACCCCTCTCTCATCTCTAGAAACATGTTCCCATCACCATGCTACAGGTTAGCCTGGGGTCGGATGCCGTTCATTTTCCTGGTGAAGTTGTTACACCTCAGCTATATGCAAGCAGGCAGGGAGAAGAGGTGCCGTGTTGGCTGTGCAGGGCTTGGGGGCTTTTGGTCTGTGCTGTACTGAGCAGTTTCGATGAGCTCTAGGCCCTTTTTGGCAGCAAATTTCAAGTGGGCTCGTAAGAGAGAAGCTGCCTTCCCAGATTGCATCCCCTTTCAGCTTAAAATTGTTCTATTACTAAACATACATCATTTAAGCACTGATCAAAGAAACCCCCATGGCACAGAAATATTATTGATTCTTCTTGTTATGCCTCAGCCTGTTCATAGCCCTTATTGAGCCTACAAAGCCAGCATGGCCGGGGGATGTTACAGCTCTGGTGTTTGCAAGGGAAAGGCGTTTATCCGTCCTTGTGCATATAAAACGCTTCTTCGGCCTGATGCGTCGTTAATCTGGGTTGCGCGCCCTGAGTGAGAAGCTTTCTGCCGGGGCGAGAGGGAAGTGGTGGAAGGAAGAGGAGCATGCAGTAAAGATTTGCTGTAACTGGTGGGGTCTGATGTGATTTTTGGAAGCTCAGTGCCAGTTCTGATTTGTGATGCCTTTCAGCTGAGGCTGGTTTCAGCTTTACTGAAGGAAAGTGCTGAAGCTTCTTTGCCAGAAGTACTCAGCGAGCAGTCTGTGCGGATCAGGGAACATGGTGACATGACGCTTCCACTGGTCTTAAAAAAACAAATAAATCTTTCTTGTCATGGACCATATCTCTAAGGTATGCTAAAGTGAAAGGATGAATAGCTTTTCTAAACGGACTGGATTTTGTATCAGGCCCTGTTTGCAGCGTTCATATATGAGGACTCAGCATAGAGCTCTCGTGCAAAAACTCATTACCCATTTTTCTGCAGCAGCAAGAATTCCTTGGAGAATTACCCAGGTTCCAGGCTATACTTTTGTAGTCATGGTAATGTTGTCTGTGGCTAAACTGTGAAGACTTGGCATGCTGCATTTTTTGTGTTGTAAATGCGATTGTACATGTGCTAATGGTGGTCCAATGCTGTGCACATGTGTCTTTAAGCCCTCTTACGGCAGGCAGACACTTTCAGATTTGACTTTTGGAGGGAGTGCTTCTCCTTCCAATTTCTATATTTGTTTCAGTATTTTTTTTTTTTCACCACTATTACGAAATTAGGTGGTTGTTCCTAATGTTTTCGGGGGCGGGGGAAGGGAAATCCCAATAAGCAACTAGCAGCCATTCCCCTTGGCTCGGTAACTGAAAGGGGGGTGGGGGGGTACCTTGCAAATGCAACCACTGGATGTCCTTTCACAGCAATACTTTTTTTTTCGCTTGTGCCTTAGTTCTTTTTAATGTTTGAGTCAGGAGAAATTGCCAAAATGTAAATTATGACTAGCATACTTCTCCCTCCCACACGGAGCAGATTATTGATGGTGGATATAGCTTGTTCCTTGTGTAGTTGCCTTGCAGGCCTTCTCATTCTACTCGTTTGTTTAACACACCTCAGCACTCTCTGTCCATCATTCTGTCTTCTCTTCCTGGAGAACTACAGACACGAGCATTTTCTTTTGGTATTCACAATTCAGGGGGGAAATGCTAGCTAGAAATCATACATAGCTTTAAATGTAGCTGTGTGAGAGCTTGTATAGCAAGAACATGCCATCTATGATTCCCAAGTTATTTTCTTGTTATACATTTATGCTGTATTACTAAGTCATGCTCATCGTGCATGTTGCAGTACTTTGGTTGCTCTATCTCTGTTAAGGCAGCTGTGAGCTAAATATTTTATTGGAACCAGAGAAATTCTCAAAATCAGGCTGCTGTCTGGACGCAAGTTGCTCTTTGTGGTTATGTTCTGTTCCTACAAATTCTTTTGATGTCTGCAAAGTTTTGCCCCAGCTGGATATGCCATTTTTTCCATCCTAGAGATTGCAAGTGAAAAAAAAAAAAAAAAGAAAGAAAAAAGGAGAGAGAGACCAGGAAAGAAATGAAGAGAATAAACAAGTTTTGCAATAAAGAGATATTTTGAGCTGGGTATTTCATATTGTTTCTTATTGGTCAAACCTCTTCCATGATTTAAGAGGGTTAGAGATGCAATTTATTCATTTTCTCCAAGGGAGAGGCTGCATTTAATATGTGCTCTCAGGATCCCCTGTTAAAATATTAGGCAATAAAATCCTTGACTGCACAGTAGTTGTGGTTATAATTTCCCCCAGGTAGTGGAAACTCTGTAATTTATTGTTGTTTAAGTTTTCCCTTTGCACAGATCGGAGTGGTTGTACCAGTGTAAAAAGGACTGTTTTTCTCCAAGTGCATGTACTCGTTGGTGACCCCGCTCCTCCCTCTGATGAGCTCTGTGCTGCAAAGCCCTCCACAGTTGCTGACTTGGCATCTGTGAGCAAAAATACTGGTGAAGACTGAGTTGGATCTCTTGTAAGCAACTTGCTTTGCTCCGCCTTGGTAAAAGCTACGGGTCTTCCTGGGCTTCGGGTGGTTTTGCGCTATAGAGATACATACCCGAGCTGGTCTGAACAGTGGAAGTGATTTATGGTGAGCCCAGTTGCACTGTTCAAAACTATTCTTTCAGACACACCTTTCTTCGGTGATGTACTTTTAATGCACGTTGGCTAACCTGGCCGAGCCAACCCGTATTAAGAACAGGCTTATTTGCCATGAGCTGTTGGCTCCTCCTGACGGGATATGATTGTCTGCATTAATTGATGTTGCAGATCTTCGTGGCATTAGCTGGGGCTGGGGTAGTCTGAGGTTTTAAATGAGGCAAGGTTTGTGGTGGGATGCGAGATCCCTTTTTTAGACCAGCTGAGAAAGCTGGAAAATGCAGGCGGGCTTGGAGGCATGGATGGGCTGGCTGAAGCTTGCCTTGTTCTAGTTTTAGTTTAGCGAGTGCAGGCAGCACCTTCATTGGAAAGGAGGGAGCTCAGCCTGGCAGCTGCCTGCAAATGGGCAGCAGTGGTGCCCAGGGTCTCCTCTTACGGGTGTCCTTAGCAGCACCTCGCTGTTGCACAAGTCTGACCTGCTTTTTTCCTGGGTGGGCTGTAGCCCTCAAGTGTGTAACGGGAAAAAATGCTTAAAAATGCCATGGTTCAGAAACCTGAGAGGAAAATGGTAGTACCACCTCATTTGTTGTTATTTTTCAAAAATTTTCTTTGGGGCAGCAAATATAAAGTGTTAACTTCATCCCTAGTGCAATGCTACTGGAATAAAAGTTATGCCATGAAGAAACTCACCTTGCATCAGCCTGCAATGGGCTCTGCACCACTGTCGACTGCACACTGTATTTTATTAGATACTGGAGTATGAAGCTATTAGCAAAAAAGTAAGGAAAAAACCAGGAAATTCATGGTAAACAAACATAAGCTGCTATCAATGAGCATCTAATTTCTACCATTGTCTCATTCTGCCCTCATGGATCACACACCCACAGAGTGGAAGTCGCATTGTTTCCCCTGTTATTTGAATTTTGTAATTCACTGAATACAAACATTGATGCCAGATACCCTGAGGAAGAAGCCCATGGTGTTGAATCAGTAGTGCAAGAACGCGTTTGGTGGCAGTTTATTTGTCTAGAGTCTAAAATGCAAAACATTCAGCAAACTATGTGTTATTAGAGATGCTATGATATCATCAGTCTGTGCATCAAAAAAGTCTGAAAACATAAGAAACTGATCCCTGGGGGTAGCCCATGGAAGTGGCTTTCCGCACCCCAAATGTGAAGGGCAAGAAGGTGAATACTTTCATTGATGTGGCACGAAATGCCTCCACAATCACAACCCCGTGTGTGTGCAGCCGTTCACACGCAACCGTTGTGCGGTGGCTGCATTCCAGACCCCCGTCCCAGCCGGTTGCAGTGCCATTTAAAAGCACCCCTCTCTTTCCATCCACGGTGGGGGCAGCCAGAGCCCTGACTGCCCGGAGCCAGCTGGGCACTGGGGTGTAGGAGTGGGGATGGTGCTCACCACGGGGAACTGTAAAGCAAATTCTTCCCGGGGATGCTGGCACACTGCTTTCCTCAGCATCAGCTTTCCTTCCTTCCCTCTTGCCTTGGTTTTGGCCCCCGGTGTTGTCCCAGCATGCTATGACTACCCAGGGTATCAGAGTCCTTGTTAAACCAGCATAGATATTTGGGGATAATTTGTTAGGAATGTGGCAGCTGGAGAACCTTGTGCTTCAGGTTTACTTGGTTAAGAAAGACTGGGGTGCAGGAAGGGATAAAAACAAACATTTCCCCTTTGCCTTCTTCCTTTGGCTGGAAGGTATGATTTTGTTTGAGGTGATTTTTTTTTTTTTTCTTTTTTTAAAATTAAAGCCTCTGAGAAGTAATATTGCATCTTCAAACTGCTGAACTCAACTGCTTTTACCAAACGCATGCAAAATTTTCCCCTCAGGATCCTTAGAGGCCCTGGAGTGCCTGCCTTGCAAAACCTGGGGCGGTGAACAGAGTCACTCGAGAGTGATCTCCATAGGATACCTTTAGACAGTGTGCTTACGTGTATTTATAAATATATATTCACATGTAACACATAAAATTTTCTTTTGGTATGTTGCTGCATACAGTAAGCAGAAAGAAAAATAATGCAGAACTGAGATATTGAAAGAGACGCTGCCCAGCTGGTAAACTCTGAAAAGAAAAAAACCAAAACCCTCTAAGAGCCACACACACAAGCAGTTCTTATCGTCGGCTTTCTCCTGCCGCTTAATACACGTGGTTATTTCTTTGTGATCATTTCAGATGCCTCAGGAACAGTACGCGCACCGGAGCACCATGCAGACCTCGGAAGGACCCCAGGTATACAAAGTGGGGATTTATGGCTGGAGGAAGAGATGCCTCTATTTCTTTGTGCTGCTCCTAATGATTTTAATCCTGGTGAACCTTGCTATGACCATCTGGATTCTGAAGGTTATGAACTTCACAATTGTAAGTAGGGGTTACCCTGAAAAGTCTGGGAAGATGAGGGAGGGTGATGGTCTTTCCTTTGAGCATGAATTCAGATACAGCTTTGATAACAGGGTATTTTAGTTGCTATGGGTAGCCGTTATTACAGGGAGGAACAAATTTACCCAATGATCTTTTTCTGCTGGAGATGTCTGCAGTATTGCCAAGCTGAGGAGTCAGCTCGGCGTTGCAAATCATGTTCCTCCTACCTGCTATGTATATACATGTATATATGTAAGCAATATACACTACCCTCCCCCAGTTTTGTGTTATAAAGTGTTTTAAAATTAATGAAATGGGGTATTTTGAAATGGGGTGTGGGGATGGGTTTGAGACTTTCTCTTACACTTTTTCTGCTTTTCTCCATGACTGGGAAGTGGAGAAACTTGCATTTGCCTTTTTCTTAGGGAAAATTCGATGCGGTTCCAGAAGCTTCATGAAGAAAAATAAAATTTCCAGAGTGGCTCTCTGGGGGTGGTATTAGGTGGAGCATATCTTTATCCTCGTGCTGTGGTTGGTGCACGTCAGTCCTGCCAGCAGCACTCCCTTGCTGCACAGACCCCCTGGCCAGGCTTAGCTTTCCACGAGCCCCTAGAGAAATGTTGGGCAGCCGTACTGGGAGTTTGGTTGCACTGGGGCAGGTGGTGCCTTCTGGGTATGGAACTCTGTGCGTCACTTGAACTCTGTTCAGACTCTTTTTGAGAGGTGCCTTGACCTTGAATTGCCTTTTTACAGGATGAGCTTCACCTCTCCTGCTCAAACACGCTGAAAGTCAGGACGTGATGAACCAGTCATGCCCCACTGCCAGGGCTGGTGAGCCTTTATGTATGGCAGGTCCTAGTTTTTCAGTAGATAATTTGGCCAAGCAGAATGCAAATGAAATGTTTGGTCCCCTCTTCTTCAAAGCAGTCATTGCCATCTTGGTCAGATGGAGTTATTTGAGTCTTCAGGAGAAACTAAGTTTGGGGCTTTAATCCTGGATTTACTTCATGAGAGAGCTGTAAGGCTAAATTCCCCTAGACCACTTTCAGGGACATCCCAGCTGCTGATGTGAGCAGTGTGTCTGAAGTCTCCCAGCTTTTCTTTCTCTGCTTTGGTCTTGTGAAGCCCTGAACAGCTGTGTCCAACATTATGTCATTAATGGGCCATGAGAAGTTGAATAAACAATCTTTGACTTACAGTATCCAGCAGACAAAATGCTGTGTCAGGGGAACGTGTAGCATTCATTTTCTCTAACCAGGATGCTGTCAAGGTGTGCAGAAGATTGCGATGCATGTGTGCTTAGGGAGCAAGCAATTATAAAGCAGTAATCCACAAAAAGCTCCTGCGAGTGGGTGAAGAGTGAGCCAAACTAGAGCAATTAATGCTTAACCAGACCAGTTATTTAATCTTGGGAAATTGATGCCATTTCAATATATATTTTGTGCTGAATTGTGGTCTTTAGATTAATGTAGTTGAAAAGTAGATATTTCTGAGGTAATGGAAGACTTGGTCATATGCTGATCATACAGGCAGTGGTATGGGTATCAGCCCAAGCACAAAATAATTTCAGATTCCCACTTTTCAGGAATGCAATTTTATTTCTTTAGAATAACATAACCTCGGTATGTCAGTCCCATGCTTTCTGCTATTTGGTGGTGGTCAGTCTACTCTCTGCAAGCTGCTTTGGAAGCCAGGCGAACTTCTCTGGTCCTTTCTCCCTCACAGCCTGCTCCTGATGCATTGCATTTTGCAGGCCATCTCCAGAGGGGTCATCTCCTAGGGATACAGAAACCTCCCCCTTCCAGCAGCTATCTCCGCCCCACTAGGATGTAACACTGGCTTTTTTGGGGATGCACTGATCTTCAAGCGCTTGTCTGATTCAGTTTCCTTAAATAGTCACTTACCCTCTGTGACTCTCTGGGGATTAGTCCAGGGTAAAGTATATTTGTATATGGTTTTAGTTAATTCATATCTTCTAATGTTAGTAGACAATGAACAGCATTTGGTGATAAAAACACAGATGGTAGCACTGAATCCTGCAGCAGGAACTGCTTTATAGTTATAGGCATGGCCACACGAGTCAGGGTGTGCGTCTCTGACACAGCCAATTGGAAAGAAATATAAGAACAGGGCATTTAAAACGTGATCCTTGCCCTGGTATGCACCCATTCATCTCCTCATCTCCTGCTGCTCCTACAGCCTCGCCAGCTGCTTTGGATCCTGCTCTGCAATCCCTCCTGCACCATTCCCTGAGGCTGAGAAAACCACTTTGCTAAGTGAATTTTTAGAGGCAGACTTTTATCTCTAAATAACAAATGTAGGAAAATTCTCAAATGAGGAGATGCAAATATGGAAAAATCTTTAATTTGTTCTTGCTCTGATAAGAGGAACTGAGAGTCCTTCTGGGGCAGGGGAAGATTCGAGTACTCAGTAAGCAATAGCTGCTGCTTAGCAGGTCTGAGTTACCCCAGTGCTTGCAGAGCAAAAAAGAAGGGGAAAGTTTGTAGTTCTGTTCTTGTGGAAAATGCAGTATTTCCAGTATCTTCCCACCCCTGAGCTCTCCTCCCAGAACCTGAGTCTGTTCAACTCCACAGGACAGTCCTGGCACTTACCGGAATTTAATGAGTGCTCATTATAACCAATAAGTGCTCACAGTATTTTAATGAGCACAGAAACCTGCTCAAGAAAACTCAGGGGTGTTTTAAATGCTGATAATAGGGAGTGGAGAAGGTAGGAGAAGATGAAGCAAGACAATCTTGCGGAAAAAAAAACCTGCCTTCACATGCACATCGTAGCAGTACCCATCCACTCCACTTCCGCATCACACCCTGAACTCCCTTTCTCTCCCCTCTGCGTGCCCCACTGGCTCGTGCTCCAGGAGACAACTCCTGTAAAATCAAGCCGTAAGCTTCCAATTCATAGCTTTTAATAAGCCAGGTGTCACTAATTTATTCTAGGTTTTGCTTTCATCTGAACGTTCAAGGCTTAAACAAGTTTATGTGTGGCTATTGCTTTTTACAGGAGGCTGTCAAAGCAGTGTCACATTATCACGGGGCCAGTTGGTTGCTGTCTAGTCTATCCTCTGGCACAGTCATTCAGTTCTCATGTAGTATTTGATCCTCGATTTGTTTTAAATGCCTTTATCAGGCACAGGCTGTATGAAAAACAGGCCTGGAGGGGACCTCAAATATCATCTACCTGTCCCACAGCTGGTTCCCATAGCTAGGTCCATTTATCCAGTTCATTTACATCAGCGCTACGCTGCTCTGGGACTGTGGGAACATCTGTGAAGGTTGCTACCTCTAAACCTTGCTTCGATCTTTAGCCAAACCACGGAATGAATCTGGACCAAAGCCACCAATTTTGGTTGACACCCAAATGCACCCTGAAGGTGGCCTAACCTAACTGAGGTAGAAACCACCATCGAGCACGCAACTTTCTGATGATATATAGGAAAAGGGAGCTCCACTTTGTTCAGATCTTAGAATCATAGAATCATAGAATCATCTAGGTTGGAAAAGACCTTTAAGATCATCCAGTCCAACCATTAACCTACACTACCAAGCCCACTCTAGACTAATCAAGGGTAGACCAGACTAAACCATATCCCGAAGTGCCACATCTACCCGTTTTTTAAACGCCTCCAGGGATGGGGACTCCACCACCTCTCTGGGCAGCCTGTTCCAATGCCTGACCACCCTTTCCATAAAGAAATTTTTCCTAATTTCCAGTCTAAACCTCCCCTGGCGCAGCTTAAGCCCATTTCCTCTTGTCCTATCGCTAGCTACTTGTGAGAAGACACCAACCCCCAACTCACTACAACCTCCTTTCAGGTAGCTGTAAAGAGCAATAAGGTCTCCCCTCAGCCTCCTCTTTTCCAGGCTAAACAACCCCAGATCTACCAATCTTGGACAAGCCTGGTAGAAATACATGGTTTGCACATATTGGGTTTGTGGGGAAAAAAAAAGCCCCTAATGCCTGCGGGCTGTGTATGTGACTCAGCCTCTCAGTCTGCAGGTCCAGCACAGGCTTGGGCTGTATCCTGCTGTCACGCCTGCGTGGTGGAGGGCTCAACCTCGAGCTGTGCAGAGCTCAGCTGAGGCTGGCACAGCCCCCGCAAGGGTTTGGACGTGCCTATCTAATTACAAGGCTGGAACCAGAGCTCTTAACAACCTTCCTCTTTATGGTCCACCTGCATTAGCATGCAGTGATGTAGCTCTTTAGCAGTAAGATCGCCCGTGACTGTGTACGTAAGCACATGCATCTTTTATGCTGTATGCCTATGATGTGCTGGGGATCTCTATTTCGGCTATTACTAGTGAGCTTAAGCTGTTTTTTAAAAGCTTCCTGTTGTATTAGTTTCTGAATATTACAACAAAAGATGTGCTTACATAAACACAGCAAACCAATATTCTTACTTTAAACATTACAAGGCTCAGAAGGTTCAGGTAATGGGCAATGACAGTGCATTGATCTGTGTCATGGTTTAACCCCAGCCAGCAACCAAGCACCCCCCAGCCGCTCGCTCGCCCGCTCCCCCCCAGTGGGATGGGGGAGAGAATCAGAAGGGTAAAAGTGAGAAAACTCGTGGGTTGAGATAAAGACACTTTAATAAGTAAAGCAAAAGCCATGCACACAAGCAAAGCAAAACAAGGCCTTCATTCACTGCTTCCTATTGGCAGGCAGGTGTTCAGCCATCTCCAGGGAAGCAGGGCTCCATCACGCGTCATGGTGACTGGGGAAGACAAACGCCATCACTCCAAATGTCTCCCCCTTCTTTCTCTTTCCCCTAGCTTTACGTGCTGAGCATGATGCTAGATGGTATGGAATACCCCTTGGGTCAGCTGGGGTCAGCTGTCCCAGCTGTGTCCTCTCCCAACTTCTCATGCACCCCCAGCCTGCTCGCTGGTGTGTAGGCACGGCTCAGCGACACCTAAAACATCCCTGTGTTATCAACAGTTTCCAGCACAAATCCCAAACATAGCCCTGTACTAGCTACT